ACATCAGTGTATCGTCACGAGCCGCAGGGTTTAATTTGGTTTTGTTTATGTTATTTTTTTGACTCTCAAAGCCGTGATTCCCATTCACTTCCATTATATGACTGACAGACTGCAACGGTTTGCGTTAAAAATCTTCGTTTGTGTTCTACTGAAGAAACAAAGTCACCTACATCTTGGATGCCCTGGGGGTAAGCAGGTAAACATAAAATTTTCATTTTTGGGTGAACTATCCCTTTAATACAGGACTGTACGTTAACTTTTTTTTCACATAGCACTGGTGCTACAGAGGTTGAAAGTTTTGTAGCACAGGCCAAAAAGTTGTAGCACAAGTATAAAACGTCTGTTATCATGTCTGAAAACAAACACAAGTAATGGAGTTCATCACTTAAACAGGCACTGATGTTCCATACAGAGCACAAAAAATACAAAAAATTGTTTTTAGACAAAGTTTTCTTAATTTGATAAAAATGGAAGAGTGCAGAAACATAACACCTCTTACACATTAACAAAATATAAAATAAAAAAGAATGGCAGACATTTAAGCCAACGTGAGCAAAGATAAAAATCTTTTGTCATCATTTTATCTTTGTTATTAGAAAATAAGAACAAAGATATACATTACAAATACACATAATATACAAATAAAACAAACGGTGCTTTATTTTTCAGGTACAGTATTTAGCAGTAACATTCAAGAAATTGAATGAACACATATTAAAATAAAACACTATATACACTACATACATCAATTATACTTTTTTTTTTTCTGTGTTTTGTTGTTTTATTAACATTAAAAGAATAGTTCACCAAAAATGAAAATTCTGTCATCTGTCTTTCAATTCTATAATAGTGTTTCATTTTTATACCAGCATTTACTTAAGTTGTTTTAAACCTGAATTAGTTATTTCGTCTGTTGAACATAAAAGTTATTTTTGAAGAATGTGGGTAACCAAGCAGTTGCTGGTATTTTTTTCCTACTGTAAAAGTCAGTGTGGACCAGCTACTGTTTGGTTACTCACATTCTTCAAAATATCTTCTTTTGTGTTCGTGCTACAGTGGTCAATTTATTCATCGCACAGACCAGTTTTTTCATAGCACGTGCGACATATATGTCGCACTGTACAGCCCTGCTTTAATATATGCCCTGGCATAATGATTTTTTTTAATTTCAAAATTGTTCATCCTTGCTAGGTGTTCTTTGTTATCCGACTGATTGCGGCACCCAATTCCAATTCTCTCCTGCCCATTGTTGACCTGGATCCTTTGATGGCGTGTGATTTGATGGATGGTCGTGATGCCTTCTTAACACTTTCACGGGATAAGCACCTGGAGTTTTCTTCATTGCGACGCTCCAAATGGAGCACCATGTGCATGTTGGTGGAACTGCATAACCAGAGCCAGGACCGCTTTGTCTATACCTGCAATGAGTGCAAGCACCATGTTGAAACTCGCTTCCATTGCACTGTTTGTGAGGTGAGGACTATAGAATGGGAGGGGTGGGAAGATGGCACAAGATCACATATTGATGATCCTTATTTTTATTAATTTTATGTGTAAAGCTGATATGCGTTTTTTCTCAAGACAGACCCAAATTAAGTCTCTTTTTGCTGTGTCCTCAATTATTAAAAATTTGTACCAGGAAAAACAGGATGTCTGCTCACCCTAGTTATAGTCGTACTTAATGCTGGTAATTAATGTCCTTTCATCCAGTACACTATGTAATGATTATTCTAACTTCTCCTTCACAGGACTATGATCTCTGCATCACTTGCTACAATACAAAAGGTCACAAGCACAAGATGGAAAAACTGGGCTTGGGGTTGGATGACGAAAGCAGCAACCAGGCTCCTTCCTCAATGCAGAATCCTGGAGACTCACGGCGTCTCAGTATTCAGCGGTGCATCCAGTCTCTGGTGCATGCCTGCCAGTGCCGCAATGCCAACTGTTCGCTTCCATCTTGCCAGAAAATGAAACGTGTAATTCAACATACCAAAGGCTGCAAGCGTAAAACCAATGGCGGTTGTCCTATCTGCAAGCAGCTCATCGCACTCTGTTGTTACCATGCAAAACACTGCCAAGAGAATAAGTGCCCTGTGCCATTCTGCCTCAACATCAAGCAGAAACTGCGGCAACAACAGCTCCAGCACAGGCTCCAGCAGGCCCAGATGGTGCGTAGAAGAATGGCCAGCATGCAAAGGACAGGCCAGCAGCTTCCAGGAGGCAATGGTGGGCTGCCATCTCCTGGGAACAATAGTACTTCTGGTCCGAGCACACCAACACCAAGCACTCAACCCCCTACCCCACAGACGCCCACTCAGCAATGTCAGCCTCCAGTGACTCAACCTGGCATTGGAGGTGTTCCATCACAACAGCAACAGCAGTTGGCAGGGATGGCCCATCAATACCAGCAAATGACTAGAAGTGGTGGGATGATCAACTCCCCGCAGCAGCCCCTGATCCCACAGCAGCACCAACAGCCAACATCAGTTCAGCATCTTCAGCATGCCAACAACCTTCCTCCATATGTGCAAAGACCTCCAGGCTCCTCTCCACTTCCTCAATCAATGGGAAAGCCAGGCATGGTGCCAGGAGGCTTCCCTCAACAGCAACAGTCGAACCTAGGGCAGCCTGTGATGCCGCAACATCAGCCACCTGGCCCCCCACCTGCCGCTGTAGAAATTGCCATGAAGATTCAACGAGTCGCAGAGACTCAACGGCAAATGGCTCAGCAAAAGATACTGCAAAGAAACCAGGCTCCTGGAATGATGCCTCCACATGGCCTTCATCAGGGTCCCCAAACTCAAAGCCAGATGGGCATGAACCTTCCTGGAGCTGCAATGGGTGGGCCTCAGGGAATGCCACCCCAGACACAAGCAGCAGTTGCTCGAACTCACATGGATCAGCAGCAGGGAATGATTACAGCAGGCATGCAGCAGACAGGACCTCAGGCTCAGCTCCCTCAAGTCCAGTTACAGCAGGGCCAGCAAGGAGCACTCCAACTTCAGGTGCCGCCACAGCAGCAGTGGAGTGGTCCCGGTATGCCTCCTCAGCAGAGACCTAGGGTTATGAACCAAATGGGTCTGCAAGGAATGGTTGCACCTCAACAACAGCAGCAGCAGCAGACAGTTGGTCCGCAGCAGCAGCAAGGGCTTTCTGGTGTAATGGGTATGATGGGCCAAGGAGGGGCTGCACCTGCAGGTACTGGCCCTGGAAGTCACCCTCAGGCTGCAATACAGGACCTCCTAAGAACCTTAAGGTTACCTAGCTCTCCCCATCAACAACAGCAAGTCCTGAATATACTACGTTCGAACCCTCAGCTCATGGCAACCTTTATCAGGCAACGGGTTCCTAGGTACCTTGGTCGAGGCGGGCCTGGAGCAGGAGGTGCGGGTGTACCAGGAGGACCTGGTGGAGGTCCAGGAATCATTGATGGCCAGCAAATGAATGTAAATCCTGGGACAAATCAAGGAGGTATGCATATGGCACAAGGAACTACCATGCCAATGAATCAGCTTCAGCAACAACAGCAGCAGCAACTTCAACAGCGGTCAATGATGGGTGGAAATTTGCAGCAACAACAGCAAATAGCAGCGTTGCAGCAGCAACAACAGCAGCAGCAAGGTGTTATGCCCAATCAGGGTGCCAACATGTCTACCATCTCCCCCCAGTTCAGAGAAATGATGAGGCGGCATTTGCTGCAGCAGCAACAGCAGCAGCAGCAACATATGGAAAACCATGCTCAGTTCCAGCATTCTCAACCACCCCAGCAGCAGGGTTATCTTGGGCAATCTGGACTGCCCCCACAGCAGCCTGGCCAACCTCAGACATCTCCCCCCAGTTCAGAGAAATGATGAGGCGGCATTTGCTGCAGCAGCAGCAGCAACAGCAGCAGCAGCAACATATGGAAAACCATGCTCAGTTCCAGCATTCTCAACCACCCCAGCAGCAGGGTTATCTTGGGCAATCTGGACTGCCCCCACAGCAGCCTGGCCAACCTCAGCCTGGTGGTCTCCAGCAGCAACAGGGAGGTACCCAGCAAAACTACTGTGGGTCTATGTCCCATCAGCAGGTTGCAGCAGCTCTGCAACAAAGGTTGCAACACCAGCAACTTCAGATGCAGCAGCAGCAACAACAACAACAGCAGCAGCAGCAGCAGCAGGGTGCTCTGGCAGGACTCCAGGGTGCTGATGGAGGTCCTGGAGGTGGTGGTCCCCTCCAGCAGCAACAGATGCAGTCGGCTCCAATTGGTTCCCAATCTCAAGTCATGCTTCAGCAAGCTTTGCAGCAACGGCTCCTCCAGCAACAACAGTCACACTTAGGAGGAGGATCTCCTTCTCAACACAATCCCATGAGCCCTCAACAGCCCCAGCAACAGATCTCCCAGTCTCCCCATTTGCAGGGCCAGCAGTTGCCCAATTCTCTAAGCAACCAAGTCCGCTCACCCCAGCCGTCGCCTCGGCCCCAGTCCCAGCCGCCAAACTCTAGTCCATCTCCTCGCTTGCAGCCCCAGCCTTCACCCCATCGCATCTCGCCGCAGACCCAGATGGGTTCCCCTCACCCAGGTCATCTTCCTCAGCATCACGGTGGCATGGTTGCACACCCACCTCCACAGCAACAACCGCAGGCGTCCCAACAGCAGCAACAGGCTAATGCGATGGACCAGGGCTCATTTGGAGGAGACCAGAGTACCATGCTTTCACAGCTAGGTGGGATGGGAGCCTTGCATGGGCAAGGGACAAATGACATGCTGACAAATAACCAAGATATGGGGTCGAATATGAATCACTCATTAGATTTGATGTAATGTTGCAGTGCTCAAAGAACTGTCATGATTGCCAGGGTTTGGTAGCAATTCTAGGTTTTACAAAGGCTGTCATCGATAGTATTATTATTACTATTATTATTATTATTATTTAATATTTTTCTTATGTAATTGAATAGAACTGAACTTCCTATGGGAGATACTACATGTGCAAGTCAACAAATTAAGTTAAATGAATGGTAAGTTATTGCTGTTAATATATAAATATATATAAATATATTTTTTGCCAATTGTGTTCAAAGGGTTTTGGGTTAAGGGATGGGAAATATTTCCTCTTGGTATATGACCAGAAATATTTTTGGGGTTAAGAAGTCTGCCTTTTTTATAGATATTTTTTAAAATTTTAAAAGTGGCATGAAATTAAAAAGCAAAATGCGTAAACAAAATGGACTATTTTGTTTTCTTTTTCTTTGAAACAGTCAAGAATGTCATCAGTTTTGGAGCGCATTAGATTTATTCTCACCAGTGTAATGATTATGAAAATGATGGCATTGGTAATAACTGTTATTTATTACTCTGCTCTTTTGGTTGGCTAATAGATATTTTCTTGTTCTTTTGTTTTGGACAGTGTATGGCATATGCTATTTGAACCTACAATTTTTGAAGAGTATATTTTTGTTATTGATTGAACCTGACTATAAAAGGATGAATTTATTTTCTTATTCTACTTTTTTTTTTTTTCCCTTTTTTAAATTTTATTTCTCTACTTTTTTTTGAGGGGTGGATGGGGCTTAAATTAAGTTTTGATAGTGTTTGGGAAATGAGTATGTGTTTTCTGATGGCTTGTTGCATGGGAAATATTTGTCCTATGCATGTCGCAGTTTTCCCACCCTCACCCCTGTCCCATGAATGTGTTTTCACTATGCCCTTCTTCTCAGTACCGGAACCTGGTGACACTGCAGGTGTGTTTAGGACAGTGCAGGGAACTCTACTAAGACTAAATGTTGATGCAGGATTTTGGATTTTGGATTTTGCCAATAATCACCTGGAACTACATCTCTGATTCCAAGTCCTCTTTCCTCTCCCATCTCACCCGCAAGGAATCGTTCTGAATCTTCACACGCATCTTTAGTGTTCTGAACTTTGGGATTTAAGTGATCTCCTTAATGTATAAACAAAAACTGAAAATAAATGACTGAAAATGAGTTGTCTTTGTAAAAAAAAAATATATATATATATATATGTGAATGGAGATAAATGGACAGATGTTTCCTCTTGATTTAAGATCCTTTGAGTTGATGAACTATGGGCAGCTTAGACATAACCTGAGAACCAATGCGCCTTTGTATGTGTACTTCATTACAAGGATTTCATTAGTGTGTAATAAACCAACACTGACTGTCATTATCTCCATCCTGTGCACAAATATAGTGGGGAAGAGAGAGTTTTAAAAAGCAGATGGTGTTTTTGATGATATGACAATAACCTATAATGAATTGTTTTCCTTGGTTAAAGGGGTGCTGGATGAATACAAAACAGGCAATATGGCTTTAGACTTATTTTATAAAAAGAACAATATTTGTTATATCTATATATAGATATAATTTTATTTTTGAGAATAAAAAACTTGAAGCTAATTCAAGAGTTGATATTGAATTACACTTTTTCAAAGATGTATTGATGCAACATGACACTGCTGTCATAACATATACGTCCCACTTTGGGAATAATGAGAAATATGGGATTTTAAGGAAATGTCTTATGAGTGCATAATGAGGTATATAGATTATGATTCACTGTACAACACATGGCAATTTGCTTTGATCTGTACATTTCTTTTTCTTTCTTGTTTTTCTAAAACGGACTAAACCCAGAAAAATAGTTTTACTGTTTGGTTGGTTGTCTGTTCTTTTTTTTTTTTAAAGTTATGGTGGTCAGATTTTTTTTGCCAATTATTTAATTGTACATTAAAATATGTTTGTACCATTCAAAAATAATTGGCTTCTGGTGTGGTGTACTTCCTACATTGTAGATGTGGAGCTGGAACAATGTCAACCCAAGGTGGTTTGAGACTAAATTAATCCACACAGTGCTACGTAATGCTGATTAAATATAAAAAGTAATGGATAATGATAGAGTTACACCGAGGTTTTATTAATGACATCATAATACCAAGTTTTCCATTTTAAAGTGCAAATACTCTAAATAGCAAAAGCAACCATAGACATTTGGCACAGACATAGTCTATCAAATACATACAGGTCACATGAAGTCAGATATTAAACAGTTGAGAGATGGATGTTCCTAGAGGCTAAATATACATTCACCTCAATATAGATTTTTTTTTGTCTTCAGGTTGCAGTTTTCATCTTGGACTAAAATAACACTGGAAATAAACGGCAGTCAAGGGAAATCTACAACATAAGACTACTGTGCAAATCATACTTGGCAGGACAAATAAATTGCACAAACACTGCAAATAGATGAGATACTAGCAAGCGACAGTGTTGGAAAATAAAATAAAATAAAATGCAACTTTATTTCATACACATAATTATGCTCAAAAGTTAGAACATAATTGTGCAAGGAGTCCAGAATTTTTTGTTTCACACTATAATATTTTGTTTATGAACTGTCAAGGACGGCACACTGAGTATTGAAATGCTATTTTCCAAAGTTGTATTTCACATATTTTGAGTATCAAGAGGCCACTAATTCTAATTTACTGCGTGAGGTGTGCAATTTAAATTGAAGGTCAAGATTAGAACATGTTCACCAAGTATATCAAGTATATATATATATATATATATATATATATATATACATACATGTAATGTGAATATGTATAGACATATATGTGACAGCTTGGCTTTTAGGAATACTTCATTGTGCTACTCTGAACTAGCATTATGTATTTCATGCAAATACATGACCAGACCAAATAAGGTTTATCCCAGTTAGTTGAATCTGTAAACTTCACTGCAAAACACCATCAAAACCAGTATCAGAGAACTGGATTGATTTTTTTCATGGCCAATACAAGTTCAAAATCTCATCATACTATCAGTTATTGCCATTAAATGGCATGACCTGTTACTGTTACTTTGAATGTAATCACTGAAACAACATTTTGAAAGGTTTTAACTCAGAACTGCAAATAAACGTAGTCTGAAACACTGGCGGAAGTTGTGCAAGCACATAATCAACAATGCAAAAAAGGATGTACCAATTCTCTTTCGTCCTCGCTCTGACCGTCCTCGGTCTCTGTAATGTCAGATCTCCATCTCCCAGCTCCTGAAGAACCCTCTTGCTACCAAGGCCTCTCTAAAAGTCACAGTCAGTGAGTTGATGGTGATATCTGTCACAATGACCTCCTCTGGGCCCATAACTGGACTCCAGTCTTCAGGTAAAGGAGATATAGTCATTGCCTCTGACCCAGTGGTTGGACTCCAGCGACCTCTCCTGACACGCTCTGAGACAGAGTACATTTTGTACATATTTACACTTTCATCGTGTTATAGATATTAAAGAATCTTGACTATAAACAAGTATTGTATAGGGTGCTGTTTTAGATGCTTTTTTAGACACTTAAGTTCAGTTTTAAAAACACAAATAATTTAATACTACTGTAGTTGTGTCCCAAATTATTAATTGTATTAAAAAAGGGTGAAGAATAATGCAGGAGTATGCAAAATACAATGCAATACACAATATAATCTTTTTTATTTTTATAAAGAAGTCTCTTATGTTCACCAAGGCTGCATTTACTTGATTAGAAATACAGTCAAATTGTAAAATGTTAATATGATTTAAAATAATTAAATTACTTGTTGTTATCTATTTGAATTTAAAATGTAATTTATTCCTGTGAGGGCAGAGTAGCCATTACTCCAGTCTTCAGTGCCACACGATCTTTCAGAAATCATTCTACTACGTTGATTTAGTGCATAATTATTGTAATCTATTATTAGGACTCTTCTTCTTCTTCGTTCTTACCATTAACAAACTATGTTTTGCTGCTTAATATTTTTGTGGAAATCGTAAAACATTTCTAGGATTTATTGATGGATAAAAAAAGTTCAAAAGAACTGCATTTATTTGAAATGCAAATCTTTTGTAACATTAAAAATGTCTTTACTGTCACTTTTTAACACAATTTAATGTGTTCTTGCTCGTCACAGGAATAAAACATTTAAAAAAATATTAAAATATTAACATTACTAAATTACCAACTAGAATTATTATAGAAATATTAAATATATTAAAATAGAAAAAAGTTATTTGTAATTAAAAATTGTATTAAAATTTCACAATGTTACTCTTTTTACTGTATTCATGATCAAATAAATTCAGCCTTACTGAGCATAAGAGACTTCTTTCAAAAATGTAAAATTTAAATACATATATATTTTTAATTTCCGGTAGTGTATATATATATATATATAT